AAATGTTAAAATTTATTAAATTATATAACATGTACTTTTTGTCATTTTATATTTTTCTACTAATTTATCAATTAGTTTTTTACCAAACATGATTAGTTGATTATAACACCTCATTTTACATTTGCATATAACACRTATTACATATAACATGTAAATCAAATATTTCCACATTGGTTCCAAATATATATAAAATGCTTACACTTGAAAGTAGCTACAATTTTTTTTCATATATATCCAATACAAGACTAGTAAATATAACAAGATTTCAAGTATGAGTAATAACATCTTCATAAAATCCACATATGTAAAGCAATCATGACATCTTCACATTTCCCCCTTTCCTTTATCCTTCGATTGTGCCCGACATGTAATGTCATTAAAAAAAATAAAATGAGGGTTATTTCATGAGGTCTAGTAAGAAGTCAGTTTTGATTGTTATTACAGGGTGAAAATCACCAAAACACTCTTATAAATCTCATATTTGCATAAATTACAATAAAACAGTGTTTTATCAAAACAAATTTTTTTATCGTATCATAAAGATTAGGCAACCTTCTTCTTATTGCTTTAATCCCATGAAAATATCAAAGTCATCAAATTTAAACATAAAAATACCAACTTGTCGCATCTCATTAATGTGATCACAACTTTATATATCGCACCATATCAACTTGTCGCATTATATAGATGTGATATAATTTTTTCTCGCATCACATTGATGCGATTACATAGTTTGTCACATCTCAATGATGCGATAACTCCAACTTTTTGCATCATAGGAATGTGATAACTCAATCTCCTTACATCACAAGGATACGAACCACAAGGGTGGTGCTTGACTGGTTTGAGCTTGACTCCATAGGTCAAAAGTACCTGGAGGTCCCAGGTTCAAATCCAAGGAGGAATAAAAATCCCTTGTGGCCACAGAGGTTCAAATTCAGTGACTTCGGGCTATTTGCAAAACAGGTAGTCGCCCTAGGATTAGTCGGATCGCATAGCGGGTTGGATATCCAGGTTAATAAAAAAATGCGATAAAAATATTGTTCTCGCATCTCATTGATGCAATAACCTTATTCCTTGTATCATAGTCATGTAATAAAATAATCTCATTTCATCATAATGATGCGATGACCACACTGATCGCATCATGAATATGCGATAACAGTTCTCATGTAATCAAAGTCTCACTTTTAACATACAGAAGGTTTTGTCACCCTTATCCCAGTATACGTCTATTTTGATTATGCCACCCTTACTCTAACTAGGGGCGGACTTAAAGTATAAAAGGTGGGGGGAAGGGCCCCCATTAAAAGAAAAAGAATTTTTTTAAAGTTAAAAGTTATCTTTTTACTTTTTATTATGGTTTTCTTCAATAATTTTTTGTTAAGGCCCCCACCAACTAAAGAAAGTATCTCGAAATCAACCAAAAAATTGAAAAAGTCTCTTGAAATTGATAAAGAAAACCTTAAAAAATCCCTCGAAATAATCCAAAAAAACTTCAAAAATCTCTTGGAATGGTGGAATTAGGCTAAAAACACATTGGACGACTTTGTAGGCGTTTAAGCTACCTTAAAGGTGCCCCCACTAAACTAAAATCCTGGATCCGCCACTGACTCTAACCAATTGCTAATTACATATCAAAACATAAAATTATGCTAAAAATAACATATAAACATTTTCAAACTCATGTATGAAACCATACGGTTTCTTCACCAAAAACATATCAAATGATGTTTATAAAAATAAAATTCATCTTGAAATGACACAGTAGATGAAGATAATAACTCAATAGCAACGACAGTTAAGAGCAAATAGTCGGAGTCATCTTCCTCCCTTCGGTTTCTGCTTCTGTTTTCTCGTACCTGAGTAAAATACACACACCTTCTTTTTCTCTTTTTAAATTAGTCCCAAAACAAAAGAAAATATCATGGCACATATAAACACATATATGCATTTTTAAAATATGAGGCGGTGATGGATTTTAAATATTTTAAGCATATTTTCAAAATAATCCTTCAACTTTCTGTCATTAATTAAAATCAACTCTAAACTTTAATAACCTTTAACCCAATTATCATATTGTGCATCTAACTTATCAGAGCATCTTCAACATATTCTTTAAAATAGACAAAATGAAGCTATTGTTATCCATTTTACTCTAGCAGATTCTCTATATAGGTTTCTAAAATTGAGAAAACTAAAAGTAAATTGAAGTTTAAAAAGTTCTCTAAAATTTAATGGTATGAAGAGAGAAATTAATTCTTATTCATTTCTATCAATAGATTGGATTATTGCTAATTTATATAAAGTCTTTCTAAAAAGTATATTGAAATATTTTAATAATATTATTGATGTCAAAGCTTTAAAATAGAAAATATGGTAAAATTAAATATAAATCTTCTTAAAGATTTTGTTTTTTGATTTATTATTTTAAAAAATTATAAAAGTCAAATATGTTTTGGATTTTGCTTTGGGAAATTGACCAAAATGACAAGTTTATACCGTACGTTAACAAAATGATCATTTTTAAGACCTTTTTCAAAAAAATAACTAATCAAATCGCCCTTGGCGGGCGATTTTTACCAAATAGGGGAGATTTGTGACCAGAAGGTATGGAGGGATCTCACATGTATCTGATTTCGGAGATAATAGTAAGATATTATACTTGATTTTGTCCAAATCACCCCAGACATGCCCAAATCACTCCTCTTGGGCGATTTTGATCTTTTTTTTTGTCTTCTAGTGAAAACAACTTTTGACGGAACGATTTCACACATTGGGGGTGATTTTGACCGGTATGGGGTGAATTGAAGAAAATGAGAATTTAATTAGATTGGATTCTTGTATATAACAGCTACTTTTTGTAATACAAACCTACAATAAATATGGTCTGCACCAAACCTAACTATTACGACTATTAATGTGACACTTCAAGCTCCACACATTATATAGTCTTAATTTTAGTTTTCATCTTTTGCTAAAAATCTTATTTTCGTTTTTTATTTTATTTGGAGTGAAATTACATTGATGGTTCTGGTACTCTCCTTCAAATTTTGGATTTGGCAACTAAATTTTAGATTTGTCGTATGGAAATATTTTTCAAACAGTTTTTCTATAATCTTTTTAAAATAAGGAATTAAAACATAATTTTTTAAGGAAAATTACATTTTTCTTTAAAAAATGCTCTATTTTAGAGATTTTAACATAAATTATATTTTATAATATCCTCTGATTTATCATTCCAATATACTGTTTAAAAAAATTATAAAAAATAATAAGTCAATCTTATTGGTCGAATTGTTTAAAATAATCATTTCTATTTCCCAATATCAAGTTTTAAATGAATTCTCTATACTCAGAGTTTTCTACATGATTTTTTTTCATAGAACAAGACAGCAATCTCTTGAGCATTTTAAAGAACAAAAGCTCATTTTTTTCAATTTTAGAGACCATAAACTCATTTTTTTTAAATCATCCCAAACCAGTCAAAATTGTCTCCAATGTGTCAAATCGTTGTATCAGAAGTTGTCTTCACTAGAAGATAAAAAAAGATCAAAATCGCCACCAAAGGCAATTTGATTGGTTATTTTTTGGAAAAGGTTGAAAAGTGCTCATTTTATCAAGGTAAAATATATAAACTACTATTTTATTCAATTTTCCTTTTGCTTTTGAGAGTATTAGTACATATTCAGCATTTTGTCTTCTCTAGATCTCTCTCCATGCAAATTAAGTTCAAACATACAATCATTTGTCTATGATATTTTCATCTTTTTTTTTATTATTATTAACCTGATATTCAAACCGTTATTTGAGTCGACTAATCTCAGGACGACCATCTGTTTTGCCGACTGTCCAGAGTTACTGCATTTGAACCTTCATGGTCATAAGGGATTTTTATTCCTCGGATTTAAAACCGGAACCTTGAGAAATTTTTGATCTTTGGAACCCAAGATAAAACCAATGAAGCGCGATGATAATGTTTGGTATTTTCATCTATTTTCTCACCTCTTTGGTATCCTTAATTTATTGGTTCAAACGTGCTTCATGCATAACTAATTTATTGGTTCAAACGTGCTTATGCATAACTTTTTCTCTATATATAATGCTTTAGTTTTCTATCAGAAATCACTCAAATTTAACTCATCAAACGATAGAGTTTAATAACCAATCAATAATGGATGTCTTTTATGCTTCTCTCCTCTCTCTCCTTCTTGTTCTCGTCTCATTCTCACTTCATTTGGTGTTCTACAAGTCTAAACCGGCTGTAGAAGGTAAACTTCCACCTGGCCAAACAGGGTGGCCTGTGATCGGAGAAAGTATAGAGTTTCTTGCCACCGGGTGGAAGGGCCACCCTGAAAAGTTCATCTTCGACCGCATGATTAAGTTCTCACCTCATGTCTTCAGGACCTCTCTCATGCTAGAGGATGCTGCGGTGTTTTGTGGGTCTGCTGGTAACAAGTTTTTGTTCTCCAATGAGAACAAACTTGTCCAAGCATGGTGGCCTTCAAACGTCGACAAGATCTTCCCTACTTCCAAACTAAAATCCAAGGTAGAAGCCATCAAGATGAGAAAGATGCTTCCAAATTTCTTCAAGCCTGAAGCCCTACACCGATATGTTCCAATTATGGACATGGTGACACAGAAACACTTTGAAAACGGATGGGAAGGCAAGGACCAGATTGTGACATATGAGCTCACCAAGAACTTCACTTTCGGGCTTGCATGCAAGATCTTTGTTAGTATTGACGAACCAGAACGAGTCAAGTATTTATCTAACCCATTTGAGAGCATTGCTCTAGGGCTTCTCTCGATCCCCATAGACCTCCCCGGAACACCGTTCAGGAGAGGAATTAATGCAGCCAATTTCATTAGAAAAGAACTCGTTGCAATCATAAAGCAAAGAAAGACAGATCTGGCGGAAGGGAAAGCTTCAGCTACACAAGATATATTGTCACACATGCTTTACTTTAGAGATGAAGATGGCAAATTCATGGAAGAATCTGATATCGCCGACAAGATCCTCGGATTGTTGATTGGTGGCCATGACACTGCAAGCTCTGCGTGTGCATTCATTGTGAAGTATCTGGCTGAGTTGCCGGAGATTTACGAGGGAGTCTATAAAGGTACTAAAAGAAATACATGCAAGAATATATATATATATATATATATATATATATATCAACACATCTACGATTCATATTAAACTTTATGGAGTAACTACCAGCATTAACATGCACAAATTGTTGATGATTATAAATTAGTATCAAAAGCCTTATTAACTTTGTATAGAACAGCAAAATTTGACGTAAAACGAATGCAAAATTTTAATCTACAAATTAACGCATATAAAATTACAGGACTTGATTGCTTGATAATATTTTTGTGAATATATATTATATATGTATGAGTGGTGTTTCACCAACCAAATTGTTTCTTAATTAGAAAAAAAATTAGCATATTTCTATATTAAATATTCTGAAAAATTATAGACAAAATTAAGGATATGTTAGAGGAAATGAATCAAATGATTAGAAGGAATTAGAACCAGAGATTGGACCTAGCTAATTAAGACGGATTAATGATGGTAATTAATTATTAATAAGCATAATTAAAGATCAATAACAAACTAATGAATCCTAAATAACTTAGAGTGAATAGATTTTGATAATTAATTTCTTTATAATTTTGTAATTGCATGCAGAACAAATGGAAATTGCAAAATCTAAAGCATCAGGAGAGTTGTTGAAGTGGGAGGATGTATCAAAGATGAAGTACTCTTGGAATGTTGCATGTGAAGTTCTTAGATTAGCTCCACCTTTGCAAGGTGCTTTCAGAGAAGCCATTACTGATTTCATGTATAATGGTTATTCAATTCCTAAGGGCTGGAAGGTAATTTACATGTTATATACATATATATGTTCAGGTTTTGGGGAAAACAAAAAAAAAATGAAAATTGAGGAACACTCTAATAATCATTCATTAAGACGTATGTACATATACATACCGATAATTTTAAGTTTTCTCTGGTATGCACATGTGCATAATATACATACGTGCATACAAACCAAGAAACAACTTCAATTACCGGTATGCACAAGTGCAAAGTGTTCATCAGTTTTTCATTTTTTCGAAGTTTTTCCCTAACCTTCCCCCTCCCCCTCTATCTATCTCTCTCTCTCTCTCTCTCTCTCTCTCTCT